GATAAAAAATCGAAATAACAAACTTACAAATAAAAAAAGACAAAATCACTTTGAAAAGTGGCATATCTTTAGAGGGTGGAAGCATGGGTGTAAGGTTTGTGACGAATGCAATCATCATTCACATCTATATTGCAAAACGTGCAAAAAAGTAGCGAATGGAATATATAAGCGATGTGAATGTAATGGTCTACACACCTCCCTGCTGCTAGAGTAAGGTCAAAGGGCAACCTTACTGGGAAATCAGATAAATAGTTTTTAGTATAAAATCTTTATGTATTATGGGTGCAGTCCCGAACTTTGTATTTATTTTTACATGTATTAATAAAAAATTTTTTCTTGGCAAACTTCCGTGAATAAAATTCACAGAAATCATGTAATCTGTTTTATTAAGTCCATCATTCATGCGGATAAAATTATATTACATACGTAATTTAAGTTGTAAGCATAGATCTGGAATCATATTAAGCTTTACAATTATACTTAAAATGCAAGCATGATTACGTCTCTTATTATTCTGTCGGAGTGTATAGTTTGTGTATAATAAAGTATAATAAAGTAAAAAGTGACTACACAATGCTTTCCATCATCTAAAAACAACTGAATATTCAAGCAACTACTTAATGACGAGCTTTCATCCTCATTGGTGATGTCCAGGTATTGTTATCATCCAAATAATAGTCGGCCTCTTTCGTTAACAATGTTTGGTATCTTTTATGAAGATTTTGAATAAAAGGCTACAAATAGAGGTCAACTGTTAGAAGAATATACCGACACTTCATAGATATAATAGAAAGATAATTACCCGCAAGAACAACATTTTGGCGGCAACCTTTGTCATTTTCGGAAATGTCGTTATCTCTTCTGCTATCTCGAAGTCCATAATTGAAAAAACTACTGGTCGCATGTTTGTTAACCAGATTGCTAAATAAATTTCAACGCTTGCTCCTATGACATTAACAAAATAAAATCCGCATTAAATAAATGAAATTGTAATTAGCAAAATGCTACGATTACTATAATTAATAAAACTAAACTAACTTACCGCTGAATTGCACGCAAAGAATGGGCATGGATGAAATCTCGTGTAGTAATTTTTCCGGTAACGTCGATACCATATGCTTAAACATAAGGATAATAGCATTGTGTAGCTTCGATAAATCTTTATCCGACTTTGAAAGTACGGAAGTTGTTGCCGTCTCTACGTATATGAACTCAAATTGTCTGCTAAAAGATAAAATCCCGTCATACTTTTTCCTTTTTCTTGATTTTTTTTCAAGAAGCTTTTGCACAAAGCTTTCCACTTCACCTCTATTAAGCAAAACAATGGATATATTTATCAGTTAAGGGCATAATATAGCATAAACACAAATTTTTGACAAATACCGTCGGAGAATACATTCATCCATTGATTCGAGGCAATCATCGAAGATTGGTGCTACGATGTGGCTGTTATACCAGCCTTCCGGTAGGTCTCTGTTATCGAGGTTTATTGTTGATTTATCTTGAAATAACAAAAAGCTATGCACAAAATCATTATTAGAAAAGGTTGCTTTTTTGATTTCAAAACCATATACTTACAATTTTTCGAAAAGACGACGCAAGTAGATAATATCACGATCCAAATTATTATAATCAATTTTGACATCGTCAAGTGCCTTTCCAAGGTCTTCCAAAGATGTCTAAAAAAGTGGACTATAATTAATATCTAATCATTTTCGTAAATTATTCTTCAATTACTTACAACATTAAATGTTTTCAAGATTCTTATAACTTCTGCGGATAAAGCTTTCTTAGGTTTATATTCTTGCATCTTTGCTTCAAAATGTGATATCACTGATTGCCCCAAAGCTTCTAAAATGATTCCGTCGTTGAGATCAATTATGCCGTATTCGAGTGATGTAGTTTTTGGTTTCGTCTTCTGGCATTTTTCATGCAAGCTCATAAGTACGCATTCTATGTTCACATTATTTATTGTGATGTCGAACTTCCAAGGCGCCCAATCCATTTCGAAACTTGTCTCGTAAATATCAAGAAAACGTTTAAAAATATTCTGTGATAGTGGTGGTGGCGCATTACGAGGTGGTGTTGTGAAAGTATAACGAGGTGGTGGTGCTATGGAAGCATTACCAGGTGGTGTCGTGAGAGTATAACGAGGTGGTAGCGCTGTAGAAGTATTAACAGGTGGTGGTGTTGTGGTGGAAGCATCCTGTGATAGTGGTTGTAGCGCATTGCGAGGTGGTATTGCTGTATTGTGGGAGTATAACGAGGTGGTGGTGCTATGGAAGCATTACCAGGTGGTGGTGTGGTGGTGGGAGCAACCAACACCGATAGTGCCTTCTAAAATTTTGAAAAATCAGACAAAAAACAAATTATAAAAATTCTTAATTTAATCAAACCACCATATCAGCGATTATAATTACATTCACATCCTTCTCTACTTCTCTTTCGCGACTCTCAATCACCCTCTAAAGTACAAGATCTCAAGTCAGTATACCCGTATAAAGAAGTATAGACGTCGTACATTTTCAAACCCATTTTTTTAATTCGATGAAAGCTTGTTTGCGCTGATATTCAGCTTGTGCAACAGCAATCTCCTCACTCGTTTGAACTTCCTTCCAGAACAAATCAACACTAGTCGAATACATCTGGCGAATAATAATATCGAAAGCTTAGCATAATTCATTCATTAAACACTAAAAGTTTTATACGCACCTCACCCTGCAGAGCCTTAGTCACTTCTTTCACCTCTCTTGGCGCGTCTGACATTAAAATTGCGTTTAGAGAGTTTGAAAACCTTTGGTGGAGATCTCTTTTATTTTTTATTGACAAAGCTCTTCTCTTTTTTGTAAATTCCAAGAAGGAGATAAAACTCCAATTATTCCAGTTAGATAGGGAAGAAGCATCGTCAGAAAGGAAGTAAGAATCAAGCTTTTGCTTGAGACTGTCTGGTAGTTCATACATTTTTACAATGATTATTGAAAATTATGCGTACGCGATTTTTATCTTAGAATTGTTACAGATCACATGATACTCCAGTATCGCCATAAAATTTTTTCACCCCTTTGGCCCGCATTATGCATAGCCCTTAATTATGCGATGGATGCTCAATTCGGAATTTCTCGGTTTTTTTACTGAAAATTTTACCTCGACCATGCTCGTAATTTACGTTCGTTGATTTTCTACGCCGGAACTTTTACCAACGACAAAAACAACCAATCATATTAATGGGGAATGCAGAGGGTATGACGCGGGGTGACAATTATTAAGATCACATGGGGATGAAAAATACTAGAGATGTGATAAGCCACACTTTCATGCTGTACGCGTCCTTCACTCTTTCTAGCCCGGCCGTACCAGTTATTCACGCAAACGCTGTGGACTAACTGTTATTCGCTAGTTGACGAGTCATCCCGGGATGGCGTCGAAAGAGTGAACGCGAAGGAGCTCTTTCTAGCCCGACTGTACCAGTTGTTCACACAGACTTCTGTTATTCGTTGGTTGATGAGCCATCCCGGGATGGCGTCGAAAGAGTCTGCACATTACACGAATAAAGAAAATACTTAGTTTATATGGGTTAGTTAAGTTAACGGGAGACAGCCCCCTGTAGGCGCTGCTCAGAGTATCAAACAGACGAATAAGAGGAAGAGAAAGAGAAAGCGAAGCGAGAGGGATGGAGATGATTTAGATTATTTCGGGGACGAGCACTTCTTGCTTTACACCCCATAATGATTTCACAAGGCAGTAAATTACTAGGGATTGGAACCGCCTAAAATTTTTCTTAATCGTTTAATCGTTTAACCGTTTAATTTGGCCGGCATTAAAATAATTCCGGCCCACGACCAACATAATTCTGCCTGGAACTATGAAGCAATTTTTAAACGGTTAAACGGTTCCAATCCCTATAAATTACCATTAAGTATCGAATTTTCCGAAGACGCTTTGGATAAAGAATCCGTAGGATCTCAAACGTTACTGAAAAAGGTTTTGGGTGTAGTAGTAGGTTTATTAAAGGATAGGGCATGTATAATAGAACCGGATTCCTTAGGGAATCAATGTCATGTATCACGGGCAAGTCCCGAACATTGTATTTATTTTTTTTCCCTGTATTAATAAAATTTTTCCGTGAACTTTATTCACGCAAATTTTTTGGCATTTTTACAAAACATTGAATAATTCACATCTTATATAAAAATATCTAACATGACATCAGATCTTAAATTATTAGAGCAACGTATTATAGACCTTGAAGCTGAGAATGCTGAGATTCCTGAACTTAGAAAAAAGTTTGCCGAAGTTGAAGATAAGAATGCCAAACTTGAGACTGAGAACTTCGAGGTTAAAGCTGAAGTAATGAAACTAAGGGCCGAACTCAAGAGCGGAATTGAGGAGTTGGGACGGATACTGTTGCCGAGAGTGCTAGGCGTGATATTGAGAGTGATAAGCTTAAGGCTAGAGTTGCCAAGTTAGAACAAGATTCTAGACAGCCACAGGATGATTCACCTTTTGAGGAAGCTTTCAGTGTACCAGAATCTGTAGCAGTCCAGCTCAAGAAGCATATGCCTTTCGGAGAGAATGTGGAACCAGAAGCGTTACCAGAAGTAGCTGTAACTGCCAGCCCTTCACTTTGCGAAGAGGATAGAAAGACCAATGAATTCCTAGATTTGGTGCAAAAGAGAAGTGTTAGTGATGGGATAAGACATAGAAAGCGGAAGGAAAAGCTTCAACACGAGACAGCGGAGAATCCAAAGGATCAAGAGGCACCCATGATTTCCCAGAATATTTCTTCTGTAAAAAACGTTCCAATTCTTGACGATCAGCAAAAAATCACTTATCTGGAAGAGGGTTGTTTCGGAAGAACTGAATCTGAACAAAATGATGAACTTATTTCTCTTCTCGAGAAAAATCTTATTGTAGAACATGAATTAATACAACAGCTTTCAACAACTATTAACAATGATGAAGTATCAAGCATATTTCGTAGGAATACTGGATCAGTGGACCTTGACCCATTTTTAGTTTCTGCACAAAGCATAGTTCATATGTTTCGAGAGGCCATTCGATCAGGTCAAAATGCTATTTTATGTTGGTACTATTTCACGGAAAAATATGATAAGAGAATAGATGAGGTATCTGTTGATAAGAAAGTCGGTAAGAAAAAAGCAATGGGGATAGTATATAATGAAGTCAAACAACTTCTTCCAGAAATTACAGATGTAAACTTATGCCAAAAACTTCTTAGAGCCAGAAAAATAAGGACACTTTTTAGCGCAGTAGGAGTAGAGAAAATAAGACTTGTTTCATATAGTGCAAATGCGATTAGCATGATAGAAATTTGGTTTGATTGGCCAAAAAAATGATCGACATTTTATAAATAACAAAATTTGATTGGTTAAAACCTCACGTTATCTCACGAAACCCCTTTATGCTTTTTTGTAAAACCGATTGACCGATTGATAAGATTGATAATATCTAACTTGCTCACGTGAAGTTAGAAACTTTTAATCGAAAAAACTGTAGATTTTTATTAGCTGTTTTGTTTTAAAATGTCAAAAATTTAACGTAATTTCTTTGTGTTATATACTAATATTGTCAGAATCGCTTCTAGTAAAAATTGTTGGAAAACTTGATCCCACTTGATCCCAAATGTTTATATAAAAGCTATACTTCTAAAAAACAATCTGGTGAAATTTTAGGCAATCTTAATTATAAAAATTTTGACTTGGTCCAATTCAAATTAAATTTTCTATTGTAAACCAATATAAAAAGTTTGTGTAACAGTACTTTTCAATATAAAATAACCAACCAATAAAAACCAACTTCTAGCATGCTAATGCGATTTCTAATCTTTCTTATACCCAAATTCAAAATATTATAGATCATGTGACTAAAATTTGCATGAATAAAATTTACGGAAGCGAGAACCATGTGACTTCGAGAATTGAATTTACTAAATCATCATCTCAAGCATACATTCCTTCTGGCCTGAAAGCAATATCAGATAAAAAGATAAATACATTAGACACTTCTCAAGCAAGAGTATTATCTGCATCCCAATCTAAGCCAACTTATAATCGATCCTATTTTCGCAACAAAACATTGGATCAATATCCTAATTTATATCGAGAAGGTAGTGATAGAAACGACGATTATTATGGAATTACTGATGAATCTTTATGCCCGCTATATAAGTTAGATCATGATGATGAAAATGGTATAGAAGGCAGATATAAAATTGGATCTTATAATCTTAAATGTGAACAACGTGGAATTGAAGTTAAGGTAACAGCATAAACCTTGCCTTCTCGCAATATTTGCTCGAAGCCAGAAAGTAAGTGATTACTATCCCTTAAACTGTAGAGTTCGTGTAACAATTTTAACTTAAAAATAGCATAAATTTAGTTATGATTTATTT